AGCAGCCCAATAGGATCAGGCACAGCTTGCCAACTGACCACTTATGGTAGTCATTAATGTATCACCTTTAACTCATGTGAATTAGATTAATTTCAAGAAGCAGCTCATAGTATGTTTGCAGTGAATATTCTTTTCAATATGGCATCTTTACCATTTAGGATGGGGGGTTCGACTTAGAACAAGAGGATTAGATAAGTGAAAGAATTAGAGCAGGTTTGAAGTGAATCCAGAGGTTGTAGAATTACCTTACTATCTTTACAAAGCTATTAAGTTCAGGGGGGATAGAGAGAGTGCAGGAATAAGGACAGGAATATATCCCCTTAACAGTAACAGGCGCTTGCCTTCCCTTGAAGGTACAGAGCCATGAGTGAGGTAGAAGATCTTTCTTATTGAGTATGTTTTACAAAAATTGCATCTAAGCAAAGACACGAAGAAGGAAATGGATTATCTCAATGCCATTGAGATTACAGAGTATTTGACAAAGGGAAGGTTTCTTATCTTTCTCTTTCTTGGGACAATCAAATTAGATTAACCTTCATAGTCATTGTTATTTTATTTTATACCCCTACAGCATATTCACTTGTATTTCAATATTACTGTATCCAACCCACCAGAATATGAATCAGAAGTAATGTAAACTAACGTCCGATTATCTTGCTGAAGTCTAAGTATCAGTCTGACTTTATAGAAGAACAAGTAGCTTTGAAATAAAGCCATCTGTGGCCATACCACCCTGAATGCACCTGATCTCGTCTGAGCTCAGAAGCTAAGTGGGGTCAGCCATGGGTGGGAGATTAAAGTAAACCTCACTGAATCACATTTTGCTATAAAAGGAGTTGAAATGTGAATAATGTGCTATTTGACAGGAAAAAACCCACAATCTTCTCATTGCTTATTATGATACAAAATTAATTAAATAAATACATTTCAGGTTAGTCTTCACATACAATCATAACTTTCTCTCATAGGATATATAATCTTACAAACCAGCTACATAAAAATGAGACTATGTGAGTACTGAAGCCACCCATGAATACTATTTCTTTTTATGAATCTAGCTCTGCCACAGACAATGTTCTTCAATCTCTATGCCCACATTTCTACTTCTGTTTGGGGTAAAAAAAATCATGACTTCTAGTTTAAAATTAAATTTAGGCTTCTCATAAAACTTTTCAAATATTATTTATGATATTGTCCAATAAACTGTTTTTGAATCATTATTATCCAAAATAATTGATAGTATTTATAAATGTAACTTTATTGCAAATTTATTTGTGTTTTCAAAGATCTGAATTGAATTTCTATTACTTAATTCTTTTTCCTCAGGTTAGAGACTTTTGGAAAAATACCGTTCCTCTATTGAATTAGTTATGCTGATTTCCAACAGTTCATATGTGCCTCCTCAGTCTTTCATCCTTAATGGAATTCCCGGTCTCGAAGCAGTGCATGTATGGATCTCACTTCCACTCTGCACAATGTATGTTATCTCCCTTGTGGGCAATCTCGGCCTTGTGTACCTCATTTACTATGAGGAGTCTTTACATCGCCCAATGTATTTCTTCCTGGTCATGCTGTCGCTCATTGACCTATTTACCTGCACAACCACTCTGCCCAATGCACTCTGCATTTTCTGGCTCAATCTCAAGGAAATTAAATTCAATGCTTGTTTAGTGCAGATGTTCTTTGTCCATGGTTTCACAGGTGTGGAGTCTGGGGTGCTCATGCTCATGGCTCTGGACCGCTATGTGGCCATCTGCTACCCACTGCGTTATGCTACTATACTCACTAACCCTATCATTGCCAAAGCTGGGCTTGCCACCTTCCTGAGAGGTGTGCTGCTGATGATTCCTTTTCCATTCTTGGTCAAGCGTTTGCCCTTCTGCAAAAGCAATATCATCACCCATACATACTGTGACCACATGTCTGTGGTGAAGTTGTCCTGTGCTAGCATCAAGGTCAATGTCATCTATGGGCTGATGGTTGCGCTTCTGATTGGAGTGTTTGACATTTGCTGTATATCCGTGTCTTATACTATGATCCTGCGGGCAGTGGTCAGCCTCTCATCATCAGATGCTCGGCAGAAGGCCTTCAGCACCTGCACTGCTCATATATCTGCCATCATCATCACCTACATCCCAGCATTCTTTACTTTTTTTACCCACCGTTTTGGGGGTCACACCATCCCTTCTTCTCTTCATATCATTGTCGCTAATCTTTACCTTCTTCTTCCACCAACTCTTAACCCTATTGTTTATGGGGTAAAGACAAAACAGATCCGAGACAGTGTCATAAAGTTCTTTCAGGGTAAAAAAGGCAGGAATTGATCCAAGGCAACTGAAATTAGATAGAAGAATGATGAATAAAAAACAAGACAAAGAAGAAATGCAGGTTTGGTACCAAATATTTTCCATTATCTCTCTCAAAATATGTTCTCAAAAACTATATTGAGTATAGTTATAGCCACGCCTGGATTTGTATCACAATTCCCTTTCCTTTGTTTTACTTCTTCACTGGTTTTTTAAAATTTTATTTTTAGTTGACTGATAAAATTGTGCTTATCATGCACAACATGGCGTTTTGAAATACACACATAGTGGAGTGGGTAAATCTAGTAGATCTCATGGAAGCAAAGAGCAGAGTGAAGGTTTCTATCACAACTTTTAATCAAGTCATTGGTTTTCTAACTTTTCTAATGCATTCATCTAAATTATTTCTTAAGATTTTGAAGGAAGTTTCAGTGTCTTGTTTATGACACTGGGTAATCTTCTCTTTAGATTAAAAAAATAAAATGGCTTTTCGAGACATTTTCAGCCTGGGCAGTCTTTGATGCTAAAATTCAGTTTATAAGTTAATTTACGGAATATATTTTTCTCCACACATTCAATTGAGAAGAAGATAACCAATGTCGCCACAACTCCTAGAATGGGTATGTTTCATCTGAAAACTTGGCTATTACGGGCATCTTAATGAAGGAGCTGTATAGTATGTAGTGTTGGTGGAATATGGTGTGATTTTCACTGTCAAATATCAATTCATTGATGAATATTTTGTAAGCTCAAGTATACCTAAAATGGAACATATTCTCCCTTCTTGTTTGCCACATGTACTATTTTGTAATAATATATTTATAATGGGTTTACTTGTTGGCATACCTATTTACTGCCAGAACATGTTCACTTTCAAGATGTGAGATATCTATATTTATCTTTGCATTTCAATCTCTAACATAATGTAAGTCACATGGTAAATATATATATATACCCTTTAAGTGGTTAACAAGTAAATCCATATTTGCTAGGTCCTATGTTGGACTGGAAAAATATAGACATTCCTTTGTCAGGAAGAAAAGCTCCTAGTCTTTACGGGAAATGAAATATCATTAAAAATTGGGTAAGGCCAGGTGTGGTGGTGCACGCCTGTAATCCTCCCACTCGGGAGGCTGAGGCAGGGGGATCGCTGTGAGTTCGAGACCAGCCTGGGCTACATAGTGAGTTCCAAGTTAGTCTCAACTACATACTGAGCCCCTGTCTCAAAAAACCAAAAATAAATAAATTAAAAAAAAATAAAAATAGGGTAAATTGTATTCTGTGACAATAGTCATCACAGGAGGCAGATCAGAGTAAAGTCAATTCAAAATGGAAAGGAAAAGGACAATTATGTTTCCTGGAACATCTTGGCAGGCAATAAATGAGTGAACTAAAATTTAACCACTGAAGTAAAAAGGTGTGAATATTAAGGGTGATCAAATAATATGATAAATTTTATATTTTTAAAAATTAATTACAGTAAAAGACATGTTTCCATTACCCCTCAATACCCACTTCACTTTGAACAGTCTCATCCCATCATTCTTGCCACTGTCAGGAGCACTGCCGGAAGTCTTCTTTCATGTCTTTATGAGGTATGATTAAAAATATAGTGAATGCTGTTGTCATATGCAAATAGGGAAACAAACAAACAAAAAAATTACAGTGTGTCCTCATCCACCTTACTCACAGCATGTGGAAATGTATACTTTATAGCTGTTCCCCAAATTCAAAACTACACCACGAAATGTAGATGCTTTAAATTTATTCAGAACACCAAGGCAGCCATATAAAGAGCAGGAAGTCAGTTTAGCTCTTGGTGACCTGAGTCCAGCTACCTCTCCATGAACCCTAACTCATGGCTTCTTGATGGATCACACTACTGCCTAATTCTCTTCTGATTCTGTTGTATTTGAGACCTCTATAGAGGATAATTTGTGCCTGTTGTATAACTGACTTTACAATTATCTTCCAAGAAGATGACCAGGGTGGACTCTGGGTCTACAAACTCTAGAAAGTCACTAATGCTGAAAGCACAGGCGGTGAATACACCTGACAGCCAACACCTTTCTGGGTCAAGGAACTACTATTCTTCATCCTCAGTCCCTTCTCTGTCCTCAGACACTGTCTGTTAGTTTCAGTTATGGTCTCTAGAATTAACTACTCCAAAGATGTTGAGTTTTATTCAAGTCATAATGAAGGACAATTTCATTGGAATGTATATACAACAACCTTGAGATACTAAGAACAGAAAACATATTAGTTCTTTTTTCATTAGTTTATTGGTACTTTTTAGTAATACAGTACAGTTACATTCACCATTCATGTACCTTTACACAACAGGTCTTGGTTCTCATTTATTCTCCATTCCCCTTCCCTCCCTTCACCTCTCCACCCTCCCCTATTTTTTTAATTGAGTTTATGTACATTTTGTTCTCATTTATTCTCCATTCCCCTTCCCTCCCTTCACCTCTCCACCCTCCCCTATTTTTTTAATTGAGTTTATTGGTACATTTTAAGTATACAGTACAGTTACATTCATTATTGGGATCTTGTACCTTTACATGACAGGTCTTGGTTCTCATTTTTTCCCCTTGTCCTTGCCCTCACTTCACCCTCTCCTCCCTTCTCCTCCCCATTCACCCTCCCCTATTTACAAAGACTTTGTTTCCATTTTTTCCTTTTCTCATATTTTTTCTTGTCCCTTATTTCCTTTCTCCTACCCTTTCCACTTGTCCTACACCTTTAGACCTTTTTCCTATTTCTATGACTATGAAAACTGAACAAAAGAGTAAGAGCACATAGATCTTCTAATACTTCTCAGCCTACTTTTTAATCTCTCCTGGAGGATGTATTATTACTCTTTTTCCTCATTAATTGTAGGCTTCTTACACTTCAGATATGATATTGGGTTGTGATTTTGGATTAATTTATTCTTTTATTTGTTCTTTTCTTCCATAAATATGTGTTGTGAAGCTACAGGTATCAGGTACCTGGAGTTAGGGGAGGGTCAATGCAGGTAGATCATTCCTGTAACATGTAGTAAGATAATCAATGAGCAAAACACAGCCCTATCCCTATGGTCTGCTTACTATAGGCCAGATATTGATCTTTATGATGAGGATTTTTTTTTTAGCTCAACTAGTTTTAATTTTTCCCATTAATAGTCAAGATCTTACTTCTTTGGGCTATGAATTGCTTCATTTTTTTTTTAACAGAAACTAGATATCACTCAGGAAACTATTAACTGAGCTTTATAAAGTAAATCCTCAATTAATTAAACTAAAAATTATAGAGCCAGGCCTTCTCCCGCTCCAGCCACCATTGCTCCATGGCCGCGAGGTAGCCTGGGCCCCAATCCACCATGGGAAGGAGAGCCATGCCTTCTCCCGCCCCAGCTGCCATCTCTTCAGCGCCCAGGAGGTAGTCTGGGCCCTGATCCACCATGGGAAGGAGAGCTAGGCCTTCTCCTGCCCCAGCCACCATTGCTCCAGTGCTGGGAGGTAGCCTGGGTCCTAATCCACCGTGGGAAGGAGAGCCAGGCCTTCTCCCACTCCAGCCGCCATCGAACCAGTGACAGGAAGGTAGCCTGGGCCCCTATTCACCATGGAAAGGAGAGCTACACCTTCTCCCGCCCCAGCCACCATCTCTTCAGTGCCCGGAAGGTAGCCTGGGCCCGGATTCACCACAGGAAGGGGAGCCACTCCTACCGCCCCAGCTGCCATTGCTCCAGAGCCAGGAAGGTAGCCACATGGGTGCCCCTGAACCCCCATAACTCCCCTTACACCCCCCCAAGTGCACTCTCAGACCTGCTGACTGTACCAGTCTTTGGATCCACTCTGCAGAGGCAGAGGTGGTCATCAAGGGTATTTGTCTGAGTTTCCAACTTTGAACATTTTTAAAGAAAGGGCGTGGGAAACCTGTAGTAGAACGTTGTGGAATTCAACCACTCAGAAGGTTGGTTAACTCAATCTGGGCTTTGCAGCCTGAGGTCAGTCTGTGTCATGGGGTTCAGCCATCAGCTAACTGAGATCAGGGGTCTTGCATCCTCACTCTGTCTGAGCCATTAAATGGTAAATACACTATATTGAAATTTTGTTCACTGCAGACATGTTCTGGAATGCTTCTTGATTTCAATTTAATTCAAATGATTTAAGGGTGATAGACCAGTGACCACTACAGGTGATCAGTGTCCAAGTTGTGCTTAGTCTTAATGAGTTGCTGATTGCATCAGTTGGGATAAAGAATTGCAGTTGATTTCAAGAGCTGTTTTCTCTGATGTTAAGAAGATGAGAATGTCTGTGGGTTGTTAGAGACACAGAAGCTAGGATGCAACTATATCAGGAAGATTTAGGTGATAACCCAGAGATTAATCCAAGGACAGTCCAACAACAGAAATAAAAATGAGAAAACACTTAAGCAAGACACAAAGACAGTCTTCCAGTTCACCAATGAGAAACAGTAGGGCAAATGAGGATGAAAAGACCGATAGTGAACCACAAGGACACCCTGAACTCAAAGCACAGAAAGTAACAAAACAGATCAATCAGGCTCTAAAAGAATTCAAAACAGAAATAATATCCCAAATAAACATAGAGAGACCAGACCCAGTAAGGACCAAAGGACCCTGGAGGGGGTCTTTTCACCTGCCTGCCTGCCTGAGATCACCCGGCGGGTGTGCGATCTGCCGGACTATGTGCTACCAGACCCAGTAAGGAAGGTAGCCGCTTGGGTGCCCTTGAAACACCCCCACAACACACCCCCCTTCTCAAACCTCCTGATTGGGCCAGTCCTTGGACCAACTCTGCAGAGGCATAGGCTCTCATGAAGGGTAGTTTTCTGAGCTCCCAACTTTGAACATCTTTAAAGAAAGGGCAGAGGAAACCTGTAATAGAACTGAGTGGAGTTCAACCCTGAGGGTTGGGAAGCTCAAGTTAGGCCTTGTAGACTGAGTTCAGTCTCAGTCTTAGGGAACTGCCTTTGGCTAGCCAAGACCAGGGAATTCGGTTCTGCATATG